TCCTTGTTTCTGTTTTCCATCTTGGTGTGGTATAATGTTTGGTCCTTCTCGTCTATCTTCTGTTCCAGGCGTAGAATCTGCGCCTCGAGTTTTGATACTTTCTGGGTTGCACTTTCGAGCTTTTTGACTGCAATTCCTTCACTAACTTGAAGAGCGACAATGTGATGATGTAGCTTTCCTGTAATTAAATATGATGTTGATCAATCCCCCCAAAAACATTTTCCTACCACACTGGGCTTCCTGAGGCAGTACGCGACTCAGGTAACCCAATAGAATTAGTTGTCTTAGTTGGTAAAACATAAGTTTTTGCCCCCTTTTAAAAGCAATCATGTAAACGTACCAATAATCGTCTTCTCATCGCTCTCCATCTGTACATCATACAGCTGTTTCCTTAAAGCCATCAATTCTTTATCCTGGCTTTCCTGATTTGCCCTAACAGCCTCGGCCTGGTGTGCGGCAACTTCTGCCACCTCCTTAAGGCGAGATACTTCAACTTTCAGCTTAGATTCCGATTCTTCACAGGAATGTAACCGCTTGAGAACTGACTCGTGCATATTCTTGGTGACAGCGCCTTCTAGTTCTTCACGTAAATGACGCTCTATTCGCTGCGCTTCGAGGTTTAACATGCCAATCTTTGAGAATAACAGGTTCAATGTAAAAGGAATTTAATAAAGGTAGAGGTGTTTTCATATCGACTGAAACCAGACAAGACTATAAGTAACTGACGGAATGATTCTAAAATTCAGTCGTCTGAACTTATGGCACTTTCTTCCTTTCTTACACACTTACTAGACAACAAATAGTGGATTTCTACCTTATGACTGGGGTAACCACAAAAACATGCCAGTGGTTGCTCACTGCTTCAAAGTAAGGGTGGCAAGGAATGGACAAAAACTATGGACAACTGCCAGGAGAAATGCATGCTTACCTCACTAAACTTCTGCTCAAGGTCTGCATTACGAATCTCTAGTTCATCGAAAACTTTTTTCAATTGTTCATACTTTCTTGCAGCGTGTTCAGCTCGCTCGCGTTCGTTGAGTTCCTATAATTAAACAATGAGAATACTGAGCAATCGGTCAATCAAAATTACAATTTATTATTTTCAATACCTTCATTTCTAGAGTTGCCAGTTTTCTTGATATCCTGTTGATTTCCTCTCGGCGAGATGGGCTGCTTTCCTCTACTGGTTTACCATCTAAAGAATAACAAGTGTAGGAGATGAAGATTTCCTTCCCATCTCATTACTACCACCATCAAAAACAACCCTCCCCTCCCCTCTTCTCGACTACTTCCTAAGCCCCATCCTACCCCACCAAAAAAGAAATATAGTTTCAAACTCAAGTCTATATATACTTACCTTTCGTAATAAGCTCGTTCAACATTTGTTCTAAACTATGGTTTTTCTCTTTCAACGATGTCATTTCTTTCTTGAGCTCAGCTTCACGTTCTTGCAAAACCTTTAGCTCGGCCTAGAAACAAAATAAAAGACCTTATTACCAATAAAGCCGCCACCTTGAATTCTATAATCCTTCAGTCGTCAATTCAATAAGCAGCTACACCCTCTTAGTGTAGTATATTCGATTATACAGCGTCACAAGTAAACATACCTCAAGATTTTCAACTTGGGCTGACTGTGAAACAAGAGTATTTTCCCTCTGTAGCAGATCTCTGTATTTGGCTGTCAGCTCGTTGTACTGTTTGTTAGCATTCTCTAGGTCTTTAGATGGCACTGAGTCATCAAGTGCTTGCTGGAGAGCATGGATTTTATATGATGCCATTTCCTTGACAAGATACAAGATGTTCAGTTAACGGATGAATCAATGAATCAGTGCAACAGTGAATAAGTTCATCAATCAATGAATCATTCAATCAGTCAATCAATCAATAAGTGAATCAATCAATCAATCAATCAATCAGTGAAACAATCAATCAATCAATCTATGAATCAATCAACCAGTCAATCGATCAATCGATCGATCAATCAATCAATCAGTGAATCAATCAATCAGTGAATCAATCAATCAGTGAATCAATCAATCAGTGAATCAATCAATCAATCAATCAATAAGTGAATCAATGAATAAATCAGTGAAACAATCAATCAATCTATGAATCAATCAACCAGTCAATCGATCAATCAATCAATCAATCAGTGAATCAATCAATCAGTGAATCAATCAAACAATCAATCAATCAATCAGTGAATTAATCAATCAATCAGCAAATCAATCAATCAATCTATATATCTATCAATCAGAGAATTAATCAATCAATCAGTGAATCAATCAATCAATCAATCACTCAGTGAATCAATCATTCAATCAAATCAATGAACAATTACCTTATGCCTTTGTAGATAACCTAGTCTCTCAGCTATAGCAGTCTCCATCTCAACAATTTCATTAGTAAGTTTCTTGTTTTCTTTTCTCAGTGCTGTCTCTACTTCCTGCATGGCTGTATACCGTCTTGATAGACTTTTCTCATTCACTCTAAGGACAGTTATCTTGCGGGTTAATTCAGACAGTCTTTTTGTCTGCTTGTCAGGGTCCTGGTTCAAGGTGTCTAGTAAGCGCTACATCAAGAAATGAAAATATAAGTCAACAATATTAAGTTTTATGACCTATTGCCAAGCATAGAAGAAAACGGATTGGCATAAATCAATTCACAAACAAGGGATTTTGAGCAATAATGGACGAGAGAAATGATACGGCTCAATACAGAAATGGTACATCCAGTAATCCATTCACTGTTGAAAAGTATAACAGCAGGAATATACAAACCTCAAATTCTAGTAGTCTTGCAGCATCTTGTTCCCTTGCTAGCTCAACAGATTTCTTGTCATCTGTTATTCTTTTGATCTCCTCTTCCCATTTTTTCTTCTCTTCTATGTAATCGCTATACAGTATGCCCTGTGAATGGAATGGAATGGGATAAATAATTATTGTAGAAGTGTCATTAAAAATATTTGAGTTTCAATCAATAATTCACATAACGATACATTTCTGTCAGTAGTTTCTACTGATTACAAACAAGATCAAGATCAAGACAGCACGGAGTTGGCCGACAATGATATGAGAATTCTAATAAGTTCATGGCACAAGGGTTTTGCTATAATTTAGTACATAAGTACATCTTGTTACCTGTTGATGAGTGATGACTGAAAACTTCCTTTTGTAATTTTCAAGGTCTTTTTCCATTTTTGYAATCATTTCTTCCTTCACTGATAGTTCCTAAGAATAGGACATACATGTAATAGGCATTGATACTAAATGCAGGTTATAGCATTACTGAATAAATGGGGCTAAGAAATAAAAGGTCACTAGCATGAAAGAGTGCATACAGTGTACTAGATTTCTAAGAAATACTCACATTCATCAAAAAAACTTTTCAAAACAGAATAAGCTACATACAATTTTGTAGCTTAAATACAGGAAAACTAATTGGATTTTTTTTACATACAATATTTGTAACAGGTTTACCCCTTGTATTGTGTTGTTTCTCRTGTTACCTGTAAAGTTTGTATAAGGTGTTCATTAAGACTACCAATGATTTCAGATGATGATGGTGTCATTCCYTCAGGCAATGGTAAAGGTTGAAGCTTGACCATCCCCTCCCCTATGAAAGAAATCKTAATTGTGAGATGGACAAAGCATCATTAAAACAATGGCATATTCTGACCTATCTCTTTGAGGGTCTTGTTTTCTTCTTGAAGTTGATCAATCTGACAAACAAAATAGAAAAGAATGAATGAGTAAATGAATAATTAAAAGAAATTAAATGGTCAAGTGAATTAAAACAGAGATACATGATTGTATATCAATAAAAAGATGAATGAATAGATAGAAAAAATGAACAAAAACGTTGCCAACTGCAGTCAAAGTAAAAAAAAATGGTTCCTCATTAGCAGGCTACCAGTATGGTAGAGTTGAGCACTACATCTCTCAAAACTTTACCACCAACCAAACACAATAATACAGGACCATTGTGCAAGTCTAGTAAATTTACCTTTGCCTGCCTATGTTCAACTTGTATCAAGGATTTTGCTGTCTCATTTCTTGCATTTTGTAATTCATGCCGTAGCTCTGCATTTCGTCCTGTTAGTTGCTCTATCTGTCAATAGATAACAGTTACAATATCAATAATGTGCTCAACCATTTCAAGCAAAAATTACATGTTTAAACAGATACCAACCTCTGCCTTTAGCTTCAGGTTTGTGTCATACTGACCAACAGCATTGCGTGACTCAATCATCTGGTATGTGTAACATAATAAGTAAATAATATTGCTACAGAATAATAATTTTATGTAAACTGTTTTCCAACATTATATAAATTAATTAAAGAGTAATCTCACTTACAGCCATAAGTTTATCTAAGGCAGGAACTTGGATAGCTACTCCTTGTGGCTGTTGACCATTTTCTTGTCCTTCAGGTGCTGTAAATTAGAAATAAAATTCAGCACAACATAATTTCCTAAACCTACCTATTAAAACATTTTCATTTAAAAAATATATTAAATCATTTGTTAGATGAAAGAGCAGGTTTAGTAAAGGGATGACATAGCAGTTTTAAAAGTAAAGGGTGTGTGTTGTGTGTATGTGTATGTTGTGGGGGGAGGGGGTGGGACAATAATTGTAATTCCTTTCTATGTGCTCCCTCCTTCATATTGGTCTTAACTGCTACACCTCTCCGCAATCCCTGGGTAATGATGCCTTAGAAAACAAGGAATATAGGAAAGTTTACCTGCAGGTACCGATGCTGGTTTCTCTCTGAGATTAGCCAGGATCTCACGAAGTCCAATCTCTAGTTGTTTGTTTTCATCCTGGAGTTCTTTATTTGCTAGTTCAAACTTTTTCAACTCTGATTTGACTTTGTCTGATTCTTTTTCCCTTTTCTCAATGTCACTCTGAAGCCTTTTGTTCTTAGGGAATAAAATAGAGTGTTAGACTGATTCCAAAAGTTGGTATCAGTTCCCTCTCTGTCAATATTTTTGGTTGCCCAGAGGTCCGTCGCTAGTTTGAGTGACAAACCGAAAAATCGAGGAGCGAATACTACGACTTATGGAGTCAGTCTAAATAGAGTGTGATCTGTAACAGATTTTGAGAAGGTTTCCTTTTCTGTCTCTGCTTATTAACAACTGAAAATGGAACTAATAGTACTTACTCTTGTTCTGGCCTCTTCTGTGTCAGAGTCTTCAATAACAATTTTCTTCTTGAACAGAAATTGCTCTGGTTCATCTTCMACATCTGCAAGGTCTTCRGCAGTTATTCCAAGCTCTACAGCCCTGTAAATAATATGACATATTAGATGATATTGAAAAAATCACCAGTTATTTTAACTTGATGTACATACTTAAAACCTTACCTTGCTCCTCTATGCATGGCTTGCTTYCTAAGCTGTTTCTTTAACTTCAAACGCTCATCTTCAAGACGTTCAATCTGGTGTTACAACAATGATTGTTCATGAAGTAGGTATTAAATAAATGGAGTAAGAACTGACCGAGAAAAGAAGGAATGATAGTGTAGGACTGAAAGGGAGGAGGAAGATGGGATGAATGAAAGAAAGTGAAGAAGAGAGGAAGAATGGAATGAAGAAGGAAAAGGATGAGGAAGATAAGGAGAATGACAAGAAGGAAGGAAGTATGGAAGGGAGGAAGGGAGAAAAAAAGGAAGGGATGGGAAGATAAGAAGAATACCAAGAAGATGGAAGGAAGAAGAGTACCTCTTTCACTAAAACYCTATTCATAGCTGCTGCCTGCTCAGCTTTAACTTTCTTCTTGTGCTTGATTTCTTCAATGTCAAGTTTATCTTTTGGATCAAGTCCAAGTCTTTCTCTAAACTCTTCATTCTCCATCTCCAAATCATTCAGTGCAAGGCTGAGTTTATTGACTTGACCAGTTAGATACTCAACATTTCTAAACAGTAACATTGACAAGTGTAAGACTTCTTAATAAATGACTACTYTATCATTATTATGATACAGTAATTCAAAGAAATTATAATGGACATACTGGTCACGAATACGGATCTGAGCCTTGTGTTCTTTGATTTCTTGTACTGCATCACTTAGTCCATACTCTCCCTACAAAGGAAGGGGCAATAAAGATTTGTGGTAAGTTTATTTTTGATTATTATATATAAATATTTTGATATTATTTATTATTACCTTCTCATACTGCATCATTCTTGCCATCARATCATTCAACTGCTTGTCTTTTTGTCTGGCTGCCTCTTCAGCCTGAATTTACAGACAAATTATTATAGATTATCGATAAATCTGTCTCCTATATTAAAACTGGTTCCGTTGGCTGATTTAAGTTGAAATTCTCACCTTCAACATTCTTTCCCTCTCCTGACCAGCTAAATGCTGTTCTCTTCTTAGAGTAGAGCCAAGTTCTGCTATTTTCTTTTGTTGGAAGGCAGATGGCACACCTTATAAAATAATACATATTTTTATTTTATTTTCTGAGGATCATGTCTTGATTGAAAATCACTTATCCATGTGGGACAATCATATAACAAGAGCATGTGCAATAACAGAATTGAATAGTCTGCTAATAAACCTTTTTCTGACTGCGCTTTGACTTCTTCAACTTGGTCTACTACGCCCTTCATGTCAGCCGTTGCCTGTGAATCAAAAAAGTGACATAATGAAACATTTTACTTTAAATAACAAGAAAGCTTGAGATTACAATGTTTCAAAGTGTCAGGGCTTCATCCCAAGGCAATATAGAATATTTGGTTTTCAATTTCAACTTAGAAATCTATGTCAGGAATCATGTATTAGAAAAAAAAAGCTCTGGCTACATGTAGTCYATGCACTAGATATTAATTCTTAATTTGAAAAAATACCTTTTCAACTTCCTTTTTCAACATTTGTATTTGTTCTTCTTTCTCCATCAAAGCCTGAGACACARAATAGAAATAGTTAAAYGATTGATTACCAAWTGTATTRTGTGGTGATCTACACTACWAACCTGCTGCAACATGACCAATGAAGACTTRTCGGAATCCATTTCAAGACCTGTTATTCTCTGCTTTAGGTCTGCAATCATAACTTTATACTGGTTTATTTCTGCATCTTTTGTAGCCAGCACATTCTGCAATAATCAATGTAATGTCAATTTAACTCTTAATAACAGAATCATTGATCAAGCATTGATCAAACCTTCCATTCTTCTACTTTGAGATTGACTGCCATCATTATCTGATCATCAGCATCAGATTTTGAAGAAAATTGGATCCTGAGGTCTTGAATCTACAATGCAAGATGCTCATGTTAATGATGCAAAAGACTTTGTGATCCACTTTCTCATGTCAAAATTAATTTATTAGCTGAATTTTGATCTACAGGTAACGGCTGTTGAGCAAATTACCTGTGCTCTTAGCGCATCTCTTTCCCTTCTCATGTCTTCAAGGATAAGATCAGATTGCTGGAGGACAGTCTGCAAAAGACAAATCATAGTATAATTATAATGTATTGTGGAATGGAGGATAATGTATTGGTTCACCCTGGCAACATCCAATTTTTTTGGAAACCAATCGTTGTTGCCACCTTGTTTGCTGGTAAACTTTTGAATGACAGCAAATTACCCATTACAACTGCTTATCTTCTATTCATCATTGTCAGACCAGAAAAATCACAACTGACCTTCAATTTTGTGTATTCATCAGTCATTTTGTTCATCTCCATTGTAGATTCTTCAAGTTCTTTCCTGACATCTGTGAGTTGATCATTTAGAGTCTCGTTTTCTTCTTGTAACATCTGAAACGTGACAGAATTTTATCTATTGAATAGTTGACATGCATTATGACACCATTTTACTACGACTACCAGAATTAGTTTGAATTTTTGATTTATTTATAAATTATTTCTAGTTATTGTCTTTACATTTCAATTCTTGATATTCACGTGACCCACAACCCACTAATTGCTTCTAAATGTTTTCATGCTGAGGCCCTGATCACACGATATTGAAACAACTCACTGTGAATTGGAGAAGAGTGAAGTATGCCACCCTCCTATATCATAGAAGATACTTTGCATCCAAGATTATCATATAATAATAATTAGCATTATCTTTAAATAATTCATATTGTACATTTTTAAAGTTAAGATTCTTTTTTTAAGTACAAATACCTTGATCTCATCCAAGTATTCTGACAATTCCTTATTCTTCTTTGCCATTGTTGACTTCATAGCGTCTCCTTCCCTGCGCAGTGCTAAGGATTCTCTCTACAATATATGCACACATAACTCAACACATCAATCTGTTCTTACCATATAATATAAATGTATTGTTGTAACAATTATTCCAAAATTTACAGAATATGAATAATAGAATTCGCTAGATGACCAGCCAAATCGGGACCTTCCAAAAATGAATTTGTAAAAAAATTGTACTGCATATGTCTGGCCATTATTTTGAGCCCTGGAATATGAATAATAGATAATCAAAGTACATGGCAGTACCTGTTGTTCAATCTGTCTCTGCAGATCTCTACTATCCATTCTGGATCTCTCAACCTATAAAGAACAGGCATGGTAAATTCACAACTCAYCAAGCAACAAAAATGAATTATTAGGGGAGGAATGGGGAGCTTAATTCAATGTCTTACCTCTCTTTTCAAGGTTCTGTTCTCTCTCTCCATTTCCTCTATTTTAGTACTAAGCTGTTAACCCAAACAATTATTGACAGATTGAATGATTGATGGCTTATCAACCATTTGATTGACAGATAGAATATCATTATTATGTTTTATTCATAATAGTTATTACAACCATTGTTATATACCTTATCAACTTTATTCTTCTCTTGAAATAATGCTTGATCTTTATCAGTGATGTCCTGCTCAAGCATCTGGAAAAAAACAGCAAAAATATTATTGCTATTTATTAAGGCACTGTCTAGACCTTCATTTGAAATGAAAGTCAGAAAGCTAAATTTAGTACTTTATTGTATTAGTTAACAATTATATTGTTCTTGGTTTTCAAAAGACATCACAAGGCAGCCATATTGGTGTACACTGTAACAGGTTAAACAAAAGAATTGGGTAAAAATTAAATAAAAATTCAATAGAACATGAAGATCAATTGTGTGCACAGGAAGCCCATAAAAGAATTCAGTTTCTAATTGAACTTCATAATTTATAAATGACTTGATAATAAATTAATACAAATAAATAAATATATTACCCTATTCTTATTGGACAGACTTTGAATTTCTCTCATGAAGTCGTCTCCTCCTGAACCAGCATGTTTCTGAAAAAAAAATTTATATGATATATTTTTAATAAATGTAATTTTGGTTAATATTGCTATATTATAGCTCAATGGTGTACAACTGACTCTTTAGGTAGAGACAGGTGGTTTATTTGGGTGAAGTGGGAAAGGAGAGAAAAATGGGAGAAGAAAAAGGAAAGAGAGCCAGTTGTAAAGAACTATATAATCCTAACAATCCTTACTCTGTATTGGTCAAGCTCCCTTTGCAATATATCAACCTCATCAAGGAAGTCTTGCTCTAAGAGAAATAAGAAACAATTTCATTGAAAACAATTGTGATAATAATTGGTTAACAAATTTTTGAATTTCACCTTTTTTCACAGATATTTCTAATTCTTCTTCCATTGCCTCCACTTGGCTCCTCTTGTACTGGCAAAATAATTATCAATCATTATACTTAATAATCACTGTAACAATAAAAGTTTTCATTAGCTTTTTGGGGCACTATCAAGGTTTGACAAAGTGGTTGTTACCATAGCAACACTCACCATAGCAAAAATCATTATTTTGTTTAACTATATGTACAAAACAAAACTTTTTGAATTTATCAACCTGTTGTCATTTATATCTTGTTAATAGATATAAGAAGTTAAGAAGGCTTCCTTGCTTAATTATTGTTGATACCAATTGGCAAATAGTGCTGATCATAATACTTACTCTCATACATGCCTGTGTTACTTCAAATAATTTCACCATCTTAGAAGGATCAGTTACTTCACTTTCATCAATGGTGGCCTTAAAAGAGTAACAACTGTTTTAGTCCTTTTTTGAATAGCATTACGCATTACATTGTGGTCTAAGATTTGGAATTAACACCATTTTTTCAAACAGTCAAATACATTATCAAATATCTTAGTAACTTAATTGATGAAATGAAATAAATGTTAGCACAGTACACATTTTTGTACAATTTTTCTTTGTGTTTTTGTGTGTTAAATATACTTTTTATCTAATTTATTTCAGGGGTTTATGAAAATTACTGCAATGCTTTCAGTGTTCTAATAAAGAAATAATAAATAAATAAACAATAATAAAGATATTTCATATAGTGGTTGGTAATTAATGGGGACTTGATTACATTTGTACAACATGTTTTTAAAAAACCTTTCAGTGAAAGACTGATACTTTTTAAACATGATATTCTAGCATTAAGAGATTAACCATGTGACAAAAACCAAGCAATTGAATACTGACAAAGAGATATTATATTCTAGCATTACATCATGATTAATTAAACAAATCTAGTAGGAAAAGATCACAGTGAGTTAACCACTGAAGAAACATCTTTGATCAAAATGATGCTAAGGGCAATCATGGGATATTTCTTTAAAAGGTATTTACTAAAAGTAGAATGATATTGCTTTAGGTAGTAAAAACAGATGTCTTTTCATTTGTTTATACAGAAGAGGAAAATATATACTGTACTATACTTTACAGACGGAAAGTATACATTTACAAATTAGATAGTTAAGCATTGACAATCATTCTGAAAGATTACTTTGAATCATTGGTCAAGCCTAATTTTTCTTTTCAAAATCATAAAAATCATGGAGTTTTAACTCAAAATCCACAAGTATACATGCATTAAAAGTGAACAGCTCATTTTATAATATTCTTCAAGATAAACATGATATATATTTGCACACAAATGACAATGTTGAAGGCTGGCAGGCTGCAAGGTTCCCTAGTATATTTACATGACAAGAAATTTTCATATGCAAAAAATCTTATAATCCGTTCTAATGCTCTTTTTGACAGCCCTTTAAATAGAGCTGTAAAGGTAGCTCTAATTGCGACAAATAAAGATGTTTATCTTTATAATTCAAACCCTTGGTGATTTCTACACCTAAATATCTGAAGTTTTTAAGTAGTATGGTGCATTGTGGTTTGTGGTATATTCTTATTTGGCCATAGCTTTGCCATGCAACAATGATACATACTTATAAATTTGATATGGCAAAAAAGCAGGGGCTATTACCAGATGCTCAAATAACAGATCTCTTTCAATAAGTATATTGGAAAGTGTTAAGCAGAGTGCTTATCAACATCATCATAATCATAATCATCATCCAAATCTTGTGAAAACAATTGRAAAAATCAAAATAAAGGATTTAATAGCCTTAGAATTCAATTCAATACACTGGTTCCAGATTAAAATATGATAGCCAAAACGCAATGCAGTAAGGTTACTTTTCATTGGTGTTGCCAAGGAGCCAAGGAGCTGTTTGCTCCACATTTCACATCTGTTTCAACGCACTTCATGTTATGGATGGAATAGAAAATTAAGCATAACTTTTAGCTAATTAGGTATGGTTTCTACAAGAATCTATAGTGCTTTGAATACAGCTTTACAGTTTATTTGGCGGTCTTTGCAACACAGGGTATCCTACACAGTTACGGCTTGTAGACCTAACAAACTTCGTTGTTTCGAGGTCATTTGTGTTGTGAATACTAATGAGTAACATGAAACAATATCATCATACTTTTATAGATAATAATCAAACATATAATAAGTATTTGAACTGGAAATATGAATTATAATCTGCTATTTACCCCATCCAGAATGTTGACAAGACTGTCGACTTCTTCCTCGTTCTGCACAAGGTTGACTACATCGGTTCCAAGCACTCTATTCCAGTCTATTGCAACCATGATGTTTCTTTAGTATTTTCTATGCACCAATACAGTTAACTTAGTTCATTTTGATGTAGTTATAAGGAAATAAAAACTAATAAACACACTAAAAGTTTTGGCCAAACGCGGCTTCCCAATGCCGCCATTTTTGAAAATGGTATTTTGAATGGAATCGAGGCAGATGGACTTTTCTAAACGGCGTTTTGATTGGTTTATTGAAGAGGAACCAATAAAAATACCTGTAAGAAAAATTTGGGATATGTAGTATAAATAACTAGTGGATTTTGATTGGTTGTATTGTAAAACATTAACCAATCATCGTGCGAAATCTATATAAGTTAAAAGACAATATTTTTTGTTATTTTTGCTTCATCAAAATGGCGACCAGTCCGAGAACTCCAACTACACCAGCTACTCCTTCTTCTCCCACTGGAACACTTAAAAGAGACAATTCAAAAAAAGATGCCGGGGTTTTTGGATGGATGGGTACTCTATCTCGACGAAAGAAAGGCGAAACCGAAGGTAAATCAAGTTGCTTTGTCTTGAAGTGTCAATTCACGATCCTCTCTAAGTGATCAACTGTTTTCGTTGTCTCAACATCTGTTGATGACCTTGTGGCTATACAAGCTGTCAACTGTTTTCTTTTACAGTCTTTTGTCATGATAAATAGATAACAATATGGGATTTATTAATCTTTTATTTGATAGTTTTAATGATCGACGAGAAATCAGAGTGGACTGTCTTCAAATTCTTCAGGAAATTCCATTCTATTGTAGACATTCCTTACACACCCCTCTAGTCATAGGGGAGTGTTGATCGTGTGTGTTTAAGAAATTTTGTATTTTGATATAAAAGATTATTATCAGTTAATAATTACTTATTCAAGAGAAGTGCCCAAATTATAAGGAAAAATATATTAAACTCAAAGTGATAGTAGATTAAAGGAGCTGTAGTAGTTCGATGTTTATAAACATTGGTTTGTTATTGGATTAAATTGATTAATTAGTTGATTAAATTGACTGACCTATATTTGATTGCTGTCTTTGTAGTAAATCAGTTAGAGAATGAAGGGAAATTTGCAATCGAGTCACCAACCACCCCAATTCACATGATCCCCCCTGATACATACGACATGGGTAAGTATCACTATGTCACAGTACAGTCAACTATCAGTATGATGGGTATAAATTTGCATTTTGGACAAATGCATCACAAATTCAAATTTAAATTTTTATTCTGTCAGAGGAAGGTGAAGTACGCTCAATGATAGAACCAGGATCACTTGAAGACCCTAAAGTCCATCAGCTCAAAGTGGTATGTACAATATTATAGAGTACCTGTAGTCATTTGAAATTATCTAGTACAAGCTCTATAAGTCACACTTACCTATGATTATAACTCAAATATAACAATGACAGGTCTACATATACAGTGATAGATCCGAGTCCCCCAACACACACACACATCAGCAAGTGCCTTAGGCTAAGGTCATTAGATYGAAGGTTGATAAACTTTTTGATGAGGATTTCCATGAAATAACATTACTTAGATGTGGCTTAAAATGACAAATTGTTTTAAGGTTCTTTTGGAGTGGTTAAATGAAGTATTGGCAGATAAAAGAATTGTTGTACGTGATGTCGAAGAAGATCTGTATGATGGTCTGATATTATCACATCTTATGGGTGAGTAAATGAATATAATAAATTATRATATCAGATAGGGATTTGTTCTTGCATTTATGTCCATGAGAAATGGCCGCATTCAAAAATGTGCATATTTAAATAGCAATGATCCATTTTTCTACAAATACCAGAATGGATTTCCTTTGGAATAAATAAAGGAGAATAGGGGACTGTGATTTTGTTATTAGATTCTCAGTTAGCTAACACAGGAATCCCAAGTGTAATCGCCATGATTGTTTTTTTTTTTGGCTACAGAGAAGTTAGCTGATATTGTGCTACAAGAATTTAAAGAAGTCAATCAAACAGTAGAGGTTCAGCAAGCAAAGTTGTCTGTTCTTCTCAACGAAATCAATAAAACAATAAGAGTTCCACAACACAGAGCCAAATGGACAACAGAAAGTAAGAAATGAGATTGTCATTGTATTATTATCCATTCACTCAATCATTCATCCATTCTATCAGTTGCCCATTCATTTATTTCAAAAGGTCAACCTACTTTCTTATTGATCATTCATTTATTGATCAATCTGTTTATATGTTGATATTTTCCAGAGGTCCATTCTAAGGATACAGTTGCAATTCTTCATTTACTTGTGTCGCTTGCAAAACACTACAACTGCAGACAAAAGCTGACACCTGATGTAAAGATAAATACAATGGTTGTACAGGTAAACATGCTGCATGTTGCATGTGGAATATTTGTTTGTTTCCTTTCTTTATTCATTTATTTGTAAGATGATAAGTATTTCCATTGTTTAAGTATTGTAATATTTTTATTTCAGAAAAAGAATGGGATGTTGATACCTCAAAGAGTAGTGGAAGAAATCACAGGACCAGATGCTGAGTAAGTTTTTGACATTATATTTTTATATTGGTTGTATTACAGGATTGCAAGAAGGAAAAAATATTGAAATGGGGAGGTATGGTAGGGTGGAGAAATGATCCAATCCCTGAGGCCAAATACCACTTGAATGCCTTCAGTAGCAACTAATTTTCATAACTTTCTCTTTTTTAGTATGATGGATGGTAAACCTGGTAAGTGCAAACAAAATTCTTGTTTGGTTCAAAGAAAATACTGACATTTTAATAACAATCCATGAATTCACAATTCATCAAATTGTTAGCATTAACTGTTGTTATTTCCTTATAGAAAGAGATGCCTTTGATGCGCTTTTTGACAATGCTCCAGAAAAACTGGGAGTAGTTAAAAAAGTAAGTCTGAAAGAAAACAATTAGGAACCTATTATATTTTGATTGTATGTGAAGACCAAGTCTTGATTCCATCAAATATTTTGCATAGTCTTTACAGGGATTCGTCAACAGACATCTGAACAAGTTGAATCTTGAGGTTACGAATATAGATACTCAGGTAATACTGAATGAATTGTATTTAGCGATAGATAGATGAATAAATGAAAGCAATCAATATATGAATATGCAGACATTCAACAAAAAGTATGAATAAATGAATGGATAAACAAATGATAAGTGAATAGACAAGTGGATAAATGCAAACAAATGTATGAATGAGTTTCATCATCCAAAATGGCAGAAGGCTCTCCATTATCTAATGACTGGTTACAAAAACCACACTCCATGATGCAGCTTGGCAATTCTTGAATAAATGAATGAATGAAAGAGTGCACTTTTAAAAACAGCTGTCTTTTCATTTTCCATTTTCAGTTCCATGATGGGGTCTATTTCATCTTTTTACTTGGTCTTTTAGAAGGATTTTTTGTTCCACTGTACCAATTTCATGTCACTCCAGCCAATGAAGACCAAAAGGTAATGCAGCTCTTCGCTAGTTAAAATCTCATCTATCAGTTAATTTCATTCCCATGTATTTTAGAGACAAAATGTTGAACTTGCTTTGGATTTGATGAGAGACAGTGGGCTAAAATTTCATGCAAAGACAGAAGGTTTGTATTAAGTCTTCTTGTTTGTTGTACTTACTTGATTACAAGTCAATGGCAAAATTGTGTGTTCTTAAACAACATTTCAATTTGATTCCAGATATCATGAAGAGAGATCTAAAGTCAACTTTAAGGATTGTGTACAGTTTATTTCAGAAGTACAAACATCTGAAGTAGACTACAATGCAGAATAGGCCTGACTGTACTATAAAATTAAGAAAGATACTTGATATGGATAGATGAAATCTAATATTTTTCATCCCATCAAAGAATTTCTCAGAAAAAAATGAATTGTAAAATAAAAGTTATTTTTGTATTTTYATCTTGAGGATTTCAGATATTTTGTAAATCCTAGATAATCTAAAACTAAAAATCACCAGCTGTGCAATGTATTATACAGTGTGCCTCTGAAGATTTGAATTCCCTGAAAAATGAAGGATGTGAGAGAAAAAAACCCTGATAAATAAAAGAAGTAGAGGGATTAATAAATAAAAGGTCAAAAAGGGATACAAAATTGGATAAAGTTCCAAGTACAAAACTAAGCTATTTTTTACAGATTATTAAAACAAACTTAAGTATATTTTTTCGTATTAAAAGGATCCATTATAAAGATTTTTGAAATAATTTCTTGGGCGAGGAGTGGCACATGAGGTAGTAAGCACATGAGGTAGTAATGGACTCGTGGTGGCTCTATCCACCATGCCCTCCAATAGAAAAGGAATCAGAGTGATTAAGAAATACGTAABGAAAGGTACATCAAGTGTACTAGAGAAAAGGACAGCTCGTAGTTTTGGATCTGTCCTTAGCCACATTTTTTATGTGGGTTTCTTCTGCTGACCGG